GGCACAGAGGGCGCCTCCTCAGTGCATTGGTTCCGCAAGGGGCTTCGGCTCCACGACAACCCGGCGCTGCTGGCGGCAGTGCGCGGGGCGCGCTGTGTGCGCTGCGTTTACATCCTCGACCCTTGGTTCGCGGCCTCCTCCTCGGTCGGGATCAATAGATGGAGGTGAGGGGGCCCGGGGTGGGGTCGCGGGCTCGGAGGGATGCAGTCTAGTCTCTGGGGCTCCCCAGGAGGGAGAGGTCCTGCCCGCCAGTTCACACGGCCGGCCGGGAGACCCCACCTGGGGGAGGTGGGGCCGGGAGGTGGAGCCGGTCTCCAGAGAAGAACCCGGGACCGGGAAGCAGTTGGTCATCGCACCGATGGCCCGGGCGGCCCAGGGCTGGACCTCCGACAAGTGCTTCCGCACTGTGTGTCATCCTCTTTGGGCCGCAGACATTCCTGCGGGCCAGTGGTCATGATCCCCGTTGTGCGGATGAGACCTTAAGCCTCAGAGACACGGAGTTACCTGCCCAAGGTCCTGTAGCCAGTGAGGGGCACGGGACTCTTCGTGCCCAGGGAGGGGAGGAAAGGAGATAGGAATTACGGGGTGAGGGTTGGGTCCGGTCTCTGAATCTATGGCACAAAGACGATTGCATTCTTCAAGTAGAGAGCCCATTGCTGGGCTCCTGGCGGTCATTTCCAAGCCTCTGGATTGTTTGAATCTGTCCTTTCACCATCCTGGCTTCCTTCCCCCAAGACTGTCCTGCCGCTGAAGGTGTCTAGAGCAGTGGTTCTCAACCTTGGCTGCACATTAGAATCACCTGGGAATCTTTTTAAAATCCTGATTTCTGGGCCTCATCCTCCCGAAATTCTGTTTCTTTGTTACTAATGTTGTGGCCCCACCCCATAACAGTGAAACAATTTCCGAAGGATGAGGCCCAGAAACCAGGATTTGGGAATCTTTAAAATCCTGATTTCTGGGCCTCATCCTCCCGAAATTCTGTTTCTTTGTTACTAATGTTGTGGCCCCACCCCATAACACTGAAACAATTTCCGAAGGATGAGGCCCAGAAACCAGGATTTTAAAAAGATTCCCAGGTGATTCTAATGTGCAGCCAAAGTTGAGAACCACTGGTCTAGAGACTCTGGCTTAGCATTAAATAGGGCCAGTGCCGGTCTCCCCTTTATTATAAACAACTCAAGGGCATGCTCAGTTAGAGGCACAGTGTGTCCTGAGCTTGAGAGCAGTGGGAGGTTGCTAGAAGAAAAGAGAAGGGAAAAAAAAGGAACCAGGCCTGGCCGGTTGCTCAGTAGTTAGAGCTTCGGCCCTCTGACCAAAGGGTCTCAGGTTCGATTCCTGGTCAAGGGCACAAATGAACTTCAGTTGCAGATTCCCCAGCCCAGGTAGGGGCGCGTGCAGAGGGGGCAAGCAATTGATGTGTGACACATCGATGTTTCTCTCTCTCTCTATCCCTCTCCCTCCCTCCCTCCCCTCCCCTCTCTCCTCCCCCGCTTCCCTCCTCCTTCCTTGCACTCTCTCTAGAAATCAATGGAAAAAATATCCTTGGGTGAAGATTTTTAAAAAAAAAGAAGGAACCAAACAAATTATCACCTTCTCCTGCCTCTCCTTATTAGATTGATTTTAAAGGACAGTTAAGCCATTATGGATTAGTTTTTTAACAACTGATTGCTAAGATTAGGGAGCAGCAAAGCTGATATCAAGGGCCCTCTTTGATGACTCCGCAGAATCATGGGAAAGGAGTAAGTGAGGTAGATGTATTTTCCCTGTAACCAGTGTTGAAAACCAAGGAGTGTGGAGACACCGTGTACCAGTCTCTCTTTAAAGTCATCTGGTTTGTTTGCGTTGTTGGGGGGATGTTTGCTGGTGGCCCTGGTGCACTGATAGGCAGGTTATTCCCAGGATACATTGGCTCTCAGGACACCATTCTTTCCTCCCAGGGTGTGTGCCCTTCCAAGGGAGTAAGTGCTCCCCGAGGTGGGTCTATGAAATGCCCCCTCCTCCCATTTATGTAGAGGGAATGACTAAAATTAGTCCCGTGGAGAGCCTGCCCACACCATTTTCACCTGCTCTATTGCTCTGCCTCTGCTCCGGTTTCCATAGATAGGAGCTTGGGTTTGACAAACATCCTCAAATGGCCATCCCTACCATGGCCATTAAGCCAAGCCTCAGACTTTGCCTGCCTTCTTGTGGCAGTGTGCCAGCCAGAGCAGAGCCAATAGAATAAGGCTACCTGCTTGTTACATTGTCACAAAGCAGCTTCTTCTTTTATTGGGTTGTGGGGGACATTGCATAGGACTGCCTGCTCCTTCGTGGTAGTGGAGGTTAAAAATCAACAACAGCCCCTAGCTGTGTGGATAGAGCGCTAGCCTGTGGACTGAAGGGTCCTGGGTTCAGTTCTGGTCAAGGACACAGGCCTGGGTGCAGGAGGCAACCAGTCAACCAATCAATGATTCTCTCTCGGCATTGGTGTTTCTATCTCCCTCTCTCTTCCTCTCTGAAACCCATAAAAGTACTTTTTTAAAAAAAAAATCAACAACAAAAACTTGTTAATTAAATGCAGATTTGCCAGGAATAAGGTATTTATGGATTTTTGTGGGTCACCCTTTTGTGGTTGTGCTTTCCGGCCACTGAAAAGAGAAAAGGGTATAGCAGAAAAGGGTATATGCCCGAGTCCAGCCCTGGAGTCAGAGGCCGAGCAGCAATGCAGATGTTATTGAGCCATCAATGAGCACCAGACACTGCTCTAGATGCTTCTAGGACACAGCAGGGAACAAGCATTGTGGTGTGCAGAGTCCGGAGCCGACATTTTAATGGAGGAAGACAAGTAAACAACCGTAATTTAGGAGAACTAAATGTCACGAAATAAATAAAAATAGGGGATGAACTAGCGCAGTGGTTCTCAGTCTTGCTGCACGTGGGAATCACTGGAGGATCCTTAAAAGATGCTGGGCTCCTTCTTCCCCCAGCTCCGACTTAACTGTTCTAAGTCAGTGGTCGGCAAACTCATTAGTCAACAGAGCCAAATATCAACAGTACGACGATTGAAATTTCTTTTGAGAGCCAAATTTTTTAAAACTTAAACTATATAGGTTTTAGTTATTGTTATTAACTTAATTAGGGTACTCCTAAGGCTTAGGAAGAGCCACACTGAAGGGGCCAAAGAGCCGCATGTGGCTCGCGAGCCGAAGTTTGCCGACCACGGTTCTAGGTTATGGCCTTGGCATTAGGGTTTTTAAGGTTCTCCTGTGGGGCAAAGCCTGAGAAGCACTGGACTAGAGAACCACAACCTGAGCCTGACACCTTGGTAAATGTCGCAGTGCATTGGCAGGAAGGCTTTAGTGTTGGCATTCAGAAGAAACAGGTGAAATAATACAAAACAAGTCGAATTGGTAACTTCTCCTGGGCCTGGAAACACTCCTACTACCCCCACCTAACCACACTCTGCTCCCATAATGAGATGGAGGGCCGAGCTGCAGACTGCTTTATGCACATGGTTGGGGGCTGGGGGAAAGATGGAGCCAGCAGTGCCTCTGCATAGCTGCAGTATGTGACTCTTCCGGTGGCTGTTTCTGGATCTGGGAGTGGTCTGGGAGGATTGTGCTGCAGCGTGACGTCCTAGCTCTGCAGACACTTCAGCTGCTGCCTCTGAGAAGCCTCTGCAGAAAGGGTGGGTCCTGGACCATCTGCTGGGGGCGGTGGAGGGGGGCACAATCTGTGATCTCTATTGTCCTCCTGCACCTTCTACACTGCCTCCCTCACAGCATTTTGGGGCAAATGAATCAGATTAAGATAACCATGAATGGCACTTTCTAAGAGTCAAAGAAGACCGAGACAGGCAATCAAGAAATATGTATATTTATTAATATAGGGAAAGGACCAGCATACTCCTTGCCTTGGTGGTAGTGGGAAGTTTATGAGCTAATTGTAGCTGTGTGTGTCTCAGGACTTTCTTTTGTGGAGCACTAGTTGGCTAAGTCCTTTATAGCCTTTTTATTTTTTAATCCTCACCTGAGGGTATGTTTATTGATTTTAGAGAGAGATGAAAAGAGAAAGAGACAGAGAGAGGGACAGAGAGAGAGGGGAAAGAAACATCTATTAGTTTCCTTTACGTGCCCCGGCCGGGCATTGAACCCAAAACCGTTTGGTGTCCAGGATGATGCTCAGACCAACTGAATCACCCAACCATGGCAGCCCTTTGCCGTGCATCTGGAAGGATGTACTGCAGTGAGAACAAAAGAAAGGGAAAAAAAGATGGGGTTGAGCAGCTTCTAGACTTAAAAATCGGTACTCAAAATAGGCCCTTGTAGATACCTTCTATTCCTATTGCAACTTAGATAGGTGCTGGCAGCAATTCACCTCACTTTTTATTTAAGTCGTTTTCTCCGTGGCTCCGTGCTGCACCTGCATTCAGGAGCTTCTGGGATAGAGGGAGTTGGTAGAAATAAAGTGTCAGCCCACACGGCTCAGAATTAATAAATGATGTAAACTGCAAATTCCCGAGAATGCCAGTGACAACAATGTGTCTCTCTTCCCAGCACTGGGCCTAATGCTGCTGGGCTGTCAGCGACGTGGGTGTTTCCTCCCTAGAATTCAGTCAGTAGAAGGGGATTGGGAGCCATAGTCCGTGGCTGGGAAAATTTGTTTTTCTCTGAGCCATTTGCACTGGTACTGAGCATGTCACTTTAAGGTTCTGCTGCTGAGGAAATGTTTTCATTTGCCCAAAAGAGATGAAAAATTCATCTTCATCTTTCTCTTTGAAATTAGGAAAGAATAAATGTATTTTTACCTGAGTGATACTTAGGGATCAATCCGTGATATGGGTTGTGAGTTTGTGTTATCCTTTCTATGGGGTTAATACCCTCTCTTACTTAGGAGCAATTAATGTCTATTAATGTTCTCTGTATCCAGGTTGAGTGAGCCTATGATATCATCATAGTTAGATAACCTTGGTTTGAAAGCAGAGAAACTTGATCAAGGATGACCTGGACCAAAAAAAGAATTCACTATCATCCTCTCTCCTCCTATTAACAAATAAAATACTCCTTAGCACAGAACCTGCCATCTCTCGGAAGGCCTTCCTTAAATATCTGCTTGTCTCATTCTCAGCCAAGGATCTGCCTGTCTTATCTAAAGGGCTAGCCCCATGGGGTCATGAATTACAGGGTCCTCTCTGTATTCTTGGAAATGCCAATTTGGTTTTCTCCAGTGCTGTCTGCCCCTGGCTCCAGAGCATTTATGTAATGTAATTCAGTTGCACATGTCTGATCTGAAGGGTGAGCTTTAACTGCTCACACAGGACCGTGTGCCCTGAATTTTGGCCATGTGAGCTCAGCTCGTAGCTGCCAAGGGTGAGCTACCAGCCCAAGCACTGCCATCTCCACAGCCCAGTCCAGTTTTCTTTAGAGCACCCCCTCATTGAAATAAAGAGAAACTGGCCAGGTGGAGAGAAGGGCTCTAGGGGAGCACAAAAGGCCCAAGCTTCTGTGCGCACACCTGCCCCAGTGAGCATTTGTCCAGCAGCAGCACTGCTCGGGGCTCCTTTGGGGTTATGCAAAGCTGTCACTTGGCAAGCTCCTTCTCTTTCTCTGGCTGCCTGAAGGCCGGGGCTCCTAGAGGCCTGTTGCCTCCTGCGGGGGGGCCATCCTGAACCTCCCTTCCTGGAGGAGCCCTGCAGGGCTTGGTGAGAGGGAGTTGGAAGTAATAATATTTCTAGAATGCCACAGCAGAGGCAGAAACCAGGATCTCAAAGAGAAGAAAGTCAACTTATAAACAGCCAGGAGTAAGGTTCTGTTTTCTGGAACAGTGCTTCTGAGACTCTCAGTGCAAAGGATTTACCAGGGATCTTGCTACAGTGCAGAATCTGATCCTGGAGGTCTGGGATGGAGCTTTTGAGAGTCTGCATTTCACCAAGCTTCTGGGTAGGTCACGACGTTGATCCTCAGAGGAGCAAGGGTCTGGGAGCAAAGGTCCTGGGCAGCGTAGCGTCCGTGCTCAGGCAGTGAGTCCTGGCGAGAGGCAGCGGGGCCTGTGGTTAAGAAGGTAGATGCTGACACACACTGCCCGGGTTTGACTTCTGGCCATTTATTTAGGTGTGAGTTGAGCACATTACTTAATCTCTCTGGTGCCTGTTTCCTCATCTGTAAAATGAGGCAATGTATGTAAAACAAGTAGACTAGTGCTTCATTTATTGTAAATGCTCCTTAAATGGTCACTGTTGCTATTATTATCATTATTGGCAGAGTTGGGCCTTCGGCTCCTTGCCTCAGCTATAGATATCTCTTGTCAAAGATGAAAAGGATTTTCATGAGGTTATCTATACTTAAGCGATATTGCAAGGAATCTCTTCTTTTAGTACATGAAGTTTAGAAGTAAAGTTCTATAGAAAGCACTAAAAGATAGCTTTCAACTGTGCATGTCAGCCTTATTTACAGCTTCAAGTGGAAGTCCTATGCGACCTGGTGCACTGTGAAGGAAGAGGCCCCCAACGTGCATGACAAGGACATTCCTGGGAGCCAGATGGAAGACAGTCTGTCCTGGGGTTGTGTAATTGTGTAATTTGTCACCAGTTATCTCTCGGCTTTCTGTGTGGCAGAGCCCAGGTTTCAGGTGGCATGAGGCTGTGTACATGGTTTTCTTATTTTCCTCCTGAGAGGAGTGGTGAGGTTTGGGAGGAGGCCAATGCAAGTGCGTCACTCGTCTCTCAGCTTTCCTCTCTGAGGGTGTCAGCTTTTCAAAAACAGAAATTCACAGAGGCAGAGCTTTTGGTTTGCATGCACACCATTCAGCCAGTCTCCCATCGCAACCCCTTGGGGAACAGTCTCCCAGCAACCGCTTGGGGATCAGTCACCCATCACAAGCCCGTGGAGTGTCTCTGTGCTCTCTCTCTAGCATGATGCTTTGGACTCAGCTCCTGCTGGAATGTGGGCCTGTGGCGTTCACGCCGTGGGAGTGTTGCTTGCTGACATCAGAGGTAGCAGCGGGGGCGGGTTCTAGTTGGCAGCCTGGGAGCAGTCGCCGTGTTTGTAGTTAGGGCATGTGATGTACTGGCCCAGAGGCACAGGGCTTTGCTGTGCTCAAAATAAAATCTGGCAATTCCCATTGTTGTCAGAGATGGGTGGGAGATGCTAAGGGGTAGACAGCAGGAGTCTGACCTGTCAGGGCTTAGTTCCCGAGGAAGATCAGAATGTCAGCGGAATGCCTGTAGTCAGGTTTGTGTTTGTCAGAGAGAGTGACTCCAAACACATGAGGGCCTGCAGAATCTCAGCCCCTGAGCAGTGTTTGTGCCACTAAGAAGCCTTAGAAATGGCGGACAGGGAAGAAAACAGTTTGACTGGTAGTCTTCAATCCCAACTTTGTCACTTAATAGTTGTGATCTTAAGCAAATTACTAGTAATTACCCTCTCTGTGTCTCATTTTCCTCATCTTTAAAGTGAGGATAATATTTCCCTTCAAAATGTGTTGAGGGAATTAAAAAGAAAACACACAATGCAAAGCCGTCATATAACATTGATAACACTGGTCACCTTTGGGGAAGGAAATTAAATTCCTAGGGGCTCAGGGAGGAACTTTTTACTTTGTACCCTTTTGTGCCTTGAACTTTGAACTATCTGAATAGCTATCTGTTTAAAATGTTAATTTCATTTTATTTAAAAGTGAAACACGTTATAAAATGTATTGATGGAATTTCTCAGAAAGGTGATTCTGCCTAGCTGTACAGCTAGTAAATTTTTGTGGTCATATAAAAAACTTTAGCCCTAGCTGGTTTGGTCTGTGGACCAAAGGGTCCCGGGTTAGATTCCATTTCAGTCAAGGGCATGTACCTTGGTTGCAGGCTCCTCCCCAGCTCAGGCCTTGGTCCAGGCACGTGCAGGAGGCAACCAGTGATGTGTTTCTCTCTCATTTATGTTTCTCTCTGTCTTTCCCTCTCTCCCCTCTCCCTAAAAATAAATAAATAAATAAAAATCAATGAAAAAAATATCCTCGTGTTAGGATTAACAACAATAAATAAATTTTTAATAAAAGTAAATAATAAAACAATTTTAAAACCACTGAAAGCATGAACAAATGTTAATTTTCTTTCCCTTCCCCTTGAAGATCCAGATCTCAGGCTTGGTCACTTGAGTATCTGGAGTTTCCTACCCCAACCCAATCTCCATCCCCGAAAGCATGTGAGGATATCCTATAAGGGGGTACTTTCTAAGGCCTTCTCCCTCTGGATGAGAACTTGGTAGCCAGAGCCCTGGAGAGTGAACCACCCGCCAAACAAAACCCTGGGAAGTGGGGACCCCGCCCAGGCTGTGGGGCTGTGGCAGTAGACATGCACGCAGCCCAAAACATGACCTCAGAAGGCAGGGCAGCTGTTGGACCCGGGTAGGTAGGATTTTTCAGAGCTAATGCGACTCTGCTAATAGGACCTCAGCCTTCCCTACCACACTATTGCACTTGTTTTTCTGATGGTTTTCTCATCTGTTCTCCCTTTCGATTCTCATAGCCCTGTGATGAGTGTATATTTACACACAGGGCCTGAGGCTGAGAGGGAAGAAGTGACTTATTTCTGATCACAGAGAAACAAGAGCAGAAGCAGCTCACATTTAACCCAGGTTTTCTTTATGCCACGCACTGTCCTGTCTGTTTTCATGCATTAGTTGATTTTCATTCCTTAGCAATTCTATAGTTGATGTTAGATAGGCACTAACATCAACTGCACACTGCAGGTTAGAAAACGAGCTAAAGAGGTTAAGTAACTGGCTAAAGTGATGTGGCTTGGAAGTGACAAAACCAGGATCTCAGTTGATCTCTGACCATATCGCTGCTGACCTAGACCCTAGGCCTCTGGGTCCTGGTACCAATGATGCTACTTGTTTGGCATAAACAGTGGGCCAGCGTCTCCCTGCTTGGTTAGGAGAGAGAGCAACTCTTTTGATGTTACCGCTAACAAAGCCTCTGTGGGCTCTGCAGGTTCCTACTTCAGTCGCTGGAAGATTTGGACACAAGTTTAAGGAAACTGAATTCCCGCCTGTTTGTAGTCCGGGGACAGCCAGCGGACGTGTTCCCAAGGCTGTTCAAGGTAAGTGTGCAGAATCCGAGAGAAGACAGTGAGAGTCCGCTCCCGGGTTTCCCCCAAACTAAATGAGATGATATTGTGACCAAGGAAATGGAAACAGTCAGGGCTGGTCAGCTTGCCGACAGAATGAAACTGTGTTAAGGAAAAAATTCACTGTAACCAGTGTCTTGCTGGAAAGTTCCCAGCTCAGTCCAGACATGGGGATGTGGCAAGTTATTCCACCCCCGATGTTTCCCTGGATGTTTCCTTGGCTCAAGTCTGCAAGATTTATTAGGGCTCTTCCCACGCCAGGAGTCTGAGGGCGAGGTTTCCTGTTCATCAGGGAGCGTTTCCTGTCTTTCTTTGCTCTGCTAATAGGGAAAGGAGTCAGCCTTTCTGAGGGAGCTTCCCTGTTTCCCCTGGGGTAAGTGGCTGATCACATCGTCATGTGGGCACCACACAGGCCTGTTTGCTGTATCGGTAGCCAGCCCACTTCCCCCTCTCCCCCAATCCCTTTATAAAGCTCATTTTAAAGTCCAAACAGAGGCAAAAGTACTCATGACAGAGGGCTCTAGGGTAGTTTCCTCTCATCCTCAGCACCCACATTGTTTTTAGGCCCCTCTCCATCCAACTTCCTTCCCTATTCTTTCTGGGGGACAAGACAGGAGGAGAGGTTTGGCAGCTCAGTAAACACTTCATCATTCACTTCACCTCCCTGCACCTCCCCACAAATGCACATATATAAAGCACACAGTGCTGGTAATAGCCACGTTTCATTCAGGGCTGACTATGAGTCAGGCACTGTTTTATGTAAGTGCTTTACATACGTTAATTCACTTCTTTTTCACAGCAGCCCTAAGAGGGAAGTGCTGCTATCCCTCCTGTACAGATGAGGAAACTATAACCTCACGGTCATGAAGCTAGGAAGTGGTGGTCTAGGGTTCGAGCCCAGGCTCTGTGACTCCAAGTTGTGTTCTTAACATCCACACCATTAAACATTTGCCACTCATCTCTCTCTGCATTGCCCCCCTCTCTCCCAGCACCGCCAAGGCCAACCTAGTACAGCCCAGAGACACAGATCAATCATTCAAAGTATATTGATTGAGCTTCTAGTTTGTACTACGCCCCATACTAGGCACTAGGGTAAGGATGAACGAGACAGCATGGTTTTTGCTCTGAGAATTCACACTCTAATGGGGTAAACAGACAGGTAATGGGCAACCTCACTGCCATATAATAAACGCTGTGATGGAAAAGGGCAAGGTGCAGAATCATACTGAAGGAGAAAGTCAAGGAAGGCTTCTTGGAGAAGGTGTCATCTAATAGCACTTTACTGTTTATCCACAGGTAATGAGTATTTAACGATGTAATCTGTATGAACTGCTAAGCCTGGTACTTGGCTCATAGTAAGGGCTTCATAGATGTTTAATGCTATTATCCTTGCACAAGGATAACCAGCCCTGCTCGGGACCCACACCCAGGCAGGACTGAGTCAGGACCAGACCAGCCTGTGCATGGCAAGACATTTGCCCCAAGGGGTTGACAGTTTCAATACACCATGACCAGAGACTTTGGTTAGAATATGGTTTTCTTTTTGCTAGTTGCATGCTCTGTGGGTTATCTGTACAACCTTTCATAGGGCCAGCTTTCTTTCAACATTGCTAGAAAATCTAGAAATTTCTATCAGAAAAAAAGTAAATACTTAGAAAAGAATTCTCTTCTTTTTTAACACGTGGCCTGTCTGGTTTGATTTCTGTGACCTCTGGACTGAGGCTTGTTCCTCCTTCCGGACTCTGAGAGCTGGAGTTTATTAGCTGTTTGCTGCTGGCCTCAGGAGTGTTGCTGTGGAAACCATTAGGACACTACACATAGTACAGGTCTGCCAAGAAAACTAGGTCAGACGTTTGCAGGGCCGGGAGGAGCTCTGGGAAAGGCCTGCCGGCAGGAGGGAGGAGGCAATCCCATCCTCCACTATCTCCACCAGTGAGTCAGTGCCTCTTGCTGGGGCAGGGCTCCCCTGAAAGCAGTGCATTTCTAGCCTCCTGCTGCATTCTCCTACCGCCAGGACACAGCAAGTGCACAGGGCTACCCACCTCTCCTGACTCCGCAGAGACCACCAGCCTCAGGCTCCGATGGTGCTGTGCCCTAGCCTCGCCTCAAAGGCCTGTCCTCACACCTTGTGAACCTCAGGTGGTTTACTTTCCAGTTCAAGTCACTGTCCCTACTGTGTTCTGCAGCCCCTTCTGACAGGTCTCCAGACTTGCTGTGTTCCTTCCCAGGACGGAGCTGAGCACCCAGCTTCCCCCTCCTCCCCACACAGTGTTTCCGTAACAGATTCTCTCTCCACAGGAATGGGGGGTGACCCGCTTGACCTTTGAATATGACTCTGAGCCCTTTGGGAAAGAGCGGGATGCCGCCATAATGAAGATGGCCAAGGAGGCTGGTGTGGAGGTGGTGACTGAGAACTCTCATACTCTCTATGACCTGGACAGGTAAGAGATAGGCCCAGGGGCAGGTTACCAATTGTGGGAGTGGTGATTTATGCCCTTGCTGAGCAGAACTCAGGGCAGTGTAGCAATAGAGCCACCTAACACATGGAGTTTTCTAGAAGCTGGAGGAAAATGGACCAGAGTGGGGTTCGTAGAACAGGTCACAAAGAGCTTTACCTGACTTGGATGCAAAGAGGCTCTTTAGGTCCAAGAGATGGAGCGGTGAGGATCCCCACCGAAGGCCTTCACAGACCTGCTCCTAATATGCTCCAGTCCCATCCACTCCTCATACTCCCACTCCTGTCCTGCTCCTCAAAGGCTGCCCTCTGACCTCAGTGGACCCTAAATGTTACCCCTCCCATAGGATCTCTGTTCTTAGAGGTCCAGTTTCTGTACCCAGTACAAGTTCCCTGGGCTCCCCCGACTATCTGGTTTTCCAGGTCAGGCGTTTAGAGATCCCTGCAGGGAGCTGATAACTAGAGTGGCCTCCTTCCCTGGGGACAGGCCTCTGTGCTTTCAGAGATTCGAGGAGGAAACCCTTTCCTCCCCTGCCCTGGCAGAGTTGTCACCCTCCTGCTGCTGCTGCTGCTGCTGTTGCTGCCAAGCCCGGCAGCCACTGCTTCTCCCCACCTCCCTCTCCCCAACCCAGTGGGTAGCTGCCAGGAGGTGGGTCACACAGCTCTGCACGTGAGCTGAGCTCTCAGGGTGTGGAACTCCTCCTCCTGCCACGTGTGGAGGAGTGGGGAGGTACTGCAGGGCCTGCAGCCAGCCTCGTATCTCCATTAGAGGAGGAGAGAGAGCTGGACTGAGAAATGAACTCACCCAGCCAGGCGGTTTGCTTAAGCTGCTGCTTGGCCAACAGTAGCCCCGGGAATCTGGCTCTAACCCATCCCAATTCATCTTTATATAAACAGCCCCAATTCTCCACTGTCCTATATCTTTTCTTATTACCTGAGTACAGCTATGTTTCTCTTGTTCGTGAAAAAATACTTTGTAAACTGCAAAATACCCTTTAAGTATTAATTGTGCTATTAATAACCCCAGCCCCAGTCTCCGGTTTAGGGAGTGGAGGGTGTTCTGCACCTCTTTGTTCTAGAAAATGCGGGCCAACAAGGAAATGATTGTCCCACAAAGGAACACATTTGCAGCCCTTATCAAAGGCTTACTCTGCGGGGAGAGAGAAGGTCCACGGGGATTCCCCCCGCTGGGACCGCCTGGCCGAGCATCCAGAAGGCTAGTGGGGACTGGGTCAACCAGGGAGCCTGGGATTGAGTCCCAGCTTGGCCCTGCCTTGCTCCGTTACCTGAGGCACCTGCTCCAGCCCCCTGGGCTTCATTTCCCTCTCGGTAAAACGGAGGTGTAGCTGCCTTGCCTCTCCTTCCTACTTAGGGCTAGGACCTATGAGCAGATCAGGAAAGGCACCCTCCAAACCTTTGAAGTCTGGGCTCTAATTCTTTTTTAAAATAATATATTTTTATTGATTTCAGAGAGGGAGAGGGAGAGAGATAGAAACATCAACGAGAATCATTGATCGACTGCCCCCTGCACACCCCCTACTTGGGATGGAGCCCGCAACCCGGGCATGTGCCCTTGACTGGAGTCGAACCCGGGACCTTTCAGTCCACAGGCCGACGCTCTATCCACTGAGCCAAACGTGCTAGGGCTGGGCTCTTTTTATGGGGGACGGGGGAAGAACCTGAAATGAAAGGCCTTGTGAGTGACGCTAAGTGTGCTTTGGAATTCCCAGGATCATCGAGCTAAACGGACAGAAGCCACCACTTACCTACAAGCGCTTTCAGGCCATCATCAGCCGCATGGAGCTGCCCAAGAAACCTGTGGCCTCCGTGACCAGACATCAGATGGAGAGCTGCCCGGCCGAGATCCAGGAGAACCATGATGAAACCTACGGCGTGCCCACCCTGGAGGAGCTGGGTGCGTGCTTCTGCCTCGTAGGCCAGCACCTCCTTTTTTGTAAAATACCTATTGGTGTTTTCTTTCTTTGTCAAAGTAATGCATGTTATTCTAGACAATTTAGAAAATACAGAGAAATGAAAATGGGGATATCAATCACTATTTCCCATCATCCAGAGATAACCACTGTTAATTTTGGAATATGTCCTTCTGGTCTTTTTTCTGTTTGTACTCATAAGTAATCTTTTTTTTTCTTTTTTTCCCTCCCACTCATAAATAATCTAATGTTTCTAGTTCATGCTTCTGTATTTTGTACTTTTCCCTCTCAAATGATGCAGGCACAGCCTGGTGCTGGCATCAGTGGGCTTTCAATACCAAGATAGCTAAGATTGCTTCTGTTGAAGGGGAGGGTCTCCCAGTCTCGGGTTACTGACTACAACACCCTTTCTCCCTTTCCCTTTCCTCCCCACCCCACCCCCTTTTTTTTAATCTGAACAAAGTTAGCTTTCTCACCTGAATACTGCAGTTGTTGTCAGCGAACCCGAAAGGGCGAGTAGTCCAGGATTGTCTCATCTGCCTGGGAGGAAGGGTGGCTGGGAAGGGAAGGCAAGGGAGAGGAGAGGGAAAGTCACAGTGGGAAGAGAACCAGGATGACCTAGAAAGCACTGGAACATTAAGAATTACCTCAGCCCAGTAGCATCAAGAACCCACAGTTCAGTTCTTGCAAAGCTCAAAGAGCAGACCAATGTGCCAAGACCTGCTGAGCTAACACTGGCAAGGCTGACCTCCAATCCAGTGGCCTGCTCCTCCCCTTGTAGGGTTCCCCACCGAAGGACTGGGCCCAGCTGTTTGGCAGGGAGGAGAGACGGAAGCTCTGGCCCGCCTGGACAAGCACTTGGAACGGAAGGTATGAGACCCAGAGCTTCAGGTGCTGGCACCCATGCAGTGGGGAGTGTGGGGTAGGTCCATGTCTCTCGGTGCCTCTTAGCTCAGAGTGGTTGAAAAATAAAAAGTCTTCCTGCTGGCCATGGCAAGGACAGCAATAGCAGCAGCTGCCGTTTCGTGGGTGCTTACCACCTGCTGGGCACCAGGCTGAGCACACCTGGGTTAAGTTCCTGCTTGCATTATCTCTAATCTTTCAACAGCCCTGTGAGGTAGGTATTCAGCTCTCTATTTTGTAGATTAGGAAATTAAGGCTTAGAGAGATTATGAAACTTGCCTAAGGTCACATAGTAAGTGGTAGAGTAAGATCTCATTCTGCATCATTCTAAAACTTTTGTTAGATTGCTTTCTTTCATCTGTGGACGTGTTCTCCTTCCTAAGAGGGTATTGGATCAGGAAAGTCCATGAGATTAATTATTTTGTGTGTATGTGCCCCCCACCTCTTGCTGCGTCCTCTTCAAGGCATGGATTTCTATTTGCTTGGACACAGAGAACAAAGGCGCACCTCCCAGTGCAGTGAGAATTGGCAAGGGGAAGGAGAGGGGCCAAGGTCCCAGAGGCACTCCTTACCGTTGGCACCTGGCACCAGGGTGCTCATGACAGGGCAGTCAGCTCCTCCATTC